TAAAAAAAAGAAAATCATCCTCTAAGCCTATCCCTCAACAAAACATTGTCCTTTCCATAATGCCAGTTGGCTTTGTCTCAAGGGAATTACATGAGTAAGCTAGAAAAAGGTTCATGGTATCTATCTTTGTCCAAGGACAGAGGCTTGGGTTATCCCTAATGCTAAAGGCCGACTCAGATATTCTTGACTGCTTGCTAATGGGTTATTTATAATTTGCTTTTCGAGGTAAGGGTAAAAGTACCAGGGGCAGGTTGCTTTGGAAGCCGATAATGGGAGAGAGAGGGAAAGATCAATTCTAGAGAGGTAAATGCTAAGTTCTAAACATATTGCTCCTTAACCAAGTCAAACTCGGACCTTTCAGGTATCCAGGATTTCAAGGTATACTATCATATTTTTTAAAAAAGAACAAATATTAATTGAAAAATTAAGAAATATTAAGAAAATTAAAGTTATCACTGGAATATGCTGGAATATGTTGCCTTTTTTATATAAATAATGAAGACACTGACACATTCTTTGTATGTATGTGCTTGTGAAATTAATAGATCATCTCCACAAGACAGCCAGCAATGATGAATTACAATACGTTATTACTGAAGGGTGAAGGTTCAAGTCAATATTCATAGTGCAATCAATAAAGAATAAGGGAGGAAAAACAGTGATTCTGGGTAAGGATTCAAGGAGCCATCTGGTATTAGCAGAAACAGCCTCCTTCCTTAACTTGCTGTTCCTGAAGCTTTTCCAATTTTATGTCAATCATATCTTCTCTGCTTTTATCTTAATATGCTCTCTATTCCAGGCAAGGCTGCTGCCACATGTAGGAAAAGCTGTTTTACACTGTACCCTGCTTTTGCACTGGTTTCAATAAACATTACACTGAGCTCTTTGGCTTTCCTTTCCTTTTCCTCAATAACACTTGCCTCTTGCCAGCAAGATCTATATTATTTTCCCCTAGCATAATGATGACATCACTGCCCCTTTCCATTCTGACATTATCAATCCATTTTGTGGTTTGCTGGAATGTTTACATTCGTGATATCATAAACTACCATGAGTACACTGGAATCCTGGCTGTTACTGAGAATGAGGCTATGGAAACATTCCTGACTCACAGGATCCCACAGCTGCAGCCTGATTGTTCTAGCTTCCAAATACATTGTTTTTGACTAAAAAAAAAAAGGCAATGCCAATTGTTACTAGATAGGTGTTATCAAAACTGTCGTACATGAATATGGCAATCAAAGATATCTTTGCATGCTCTTCCCTCCCCCACCCCATGCCAGCCTGAATTCTTCAGGGGGTTTTCGAAGTCTCCTGCAGCAGACAGGATGGAGCTGGAGCCACCACCTCAGCCCAGGGCTCTCTTCTGGCCCTGCAGGCTTTCTAAAGGGGGTGGGTAACCTGTGACTTCGAGGCCACACGTGGCCTTGAGTCTGCAGGTTCCCCACCCCTGCCCCAGACACTGAGGACAGAGTTGCTGCAGGAAACCCGAGGTCGGGGTGAGGAGAGGAGGAGGGGGCACTCCTGCAAAGACTACAGAGGAGACTGATGGGGGTGAGGGAACGGGCAGGCGGCATTATTCAAGTGCTAGAGCCTCTCAGCTGAGGCAAGGGAGAATAAATTTAACAACTTTCTAAGCACAGTTCCAAATCGCTTTCTAGAATGGCTGGACCAGTTCATAATATGTTTTCCCACAAGACTTTCAGCACTTGCCACTTTTCTTTTTTGTCAACTTTGTCAGTCTGAGGGGTATGAGGTGGAACTTTAGATTCCTTTTAATTTGCCTTTCAAATTTGTTACTTAGAATTTAATTATTTTTCTTAGTTAAAAGGGAGGGTTCAATGAGTAGGGACATAAACTGGGAAATTACCGTGGTATTAAAAACAAAAGACATGAATCACAGTTCTTTAAAAAGAACAAAACCTGGAACTATAGGGCTAGACAAGGTAATCTCTAAGCTCCCTTCTTGGTATGCTTCTTTGATTCCAAATATGTAACCAGAAGGAAACGGAGGTGTGAGAGATATGGAAGAAGAAACTCGTCAACTGACAAATGTAGGGTGATGGAAAGTGAAGAGTCAAAAATAATGCTTAGGTTGGAAGTCTGGGTGGCGATGCTATCAATAGAACTCAAGAAATTCAGAAAAAGAATGGGTTGGAAAGATACATTCTGATTTAGACACGTTGAATTTGCGATGCCATACAACATTAAGTTTGTAATGTTCAATAGCCAATTGGTGATAACAGGCCTGAAATTCAGGAGAGAGATAAAGGGCTGGATATATAGATCTGTGAGTTATTTGTATAGAGATGATGGGAACTGATGAAGTCACCAAGTGAGAGAGTATACATAGAGGGGGTGCCCAGGACAAGCCTTGAAAAATAACCACAGTTAGGGGGTAGGTAATAAAGAGTGAAAATAAGAGGTCAAACATGTAGGAAAAGAAAACAGAAAGTATCCAGAAGAGGATGGTCAGCTTGTCAGATGCTCATCAAAAAAATAAGGATTGAGAAAAGGCCTTATGATTTGACAATTAGAGAACAGTTTTAACTGAGTGAGAAGGATAATAAGGAGGTTGATAACCTAGGAGGTTAGAATAATGGTGGTACCCTCATCAGAAAAAAGGATGGATTTGGATACAAAAACCCATTGACTAATGAAAAATGTATATAGAGGGGTGGTGTGGGGAAAAGGAGTGGAAACTTACATCAGCCACCAACTAGAAGTACAAAACCTGTCCTCTGAGTGAAACCTGAGCCAGAAGTGAACCATGGCAGAGGATATGGAGGAGGTGGGGTAGAAGGCAAGAGGGATTTTGTGTAGTTGCTGCAAGTGTCTGGTTTAGGCTGGTTTATAACTACCTTGAAGGGTCTATACTAGGGAAGCTACTGAAGACAACAGCAGGAACACAATCTAACTTCCCATAACTTCCCTTCCAATTCTTAGACTTCTAGAAAATAAATGAATGAATGAATGAGTAAATAAATAAATGGATAAAAACTTGTCTGCACTCATTGCTTCCACTTCCTAACCTCTCATTCACTCCTCAACCCTTTCCAAACTAACTTCTGACCTCTTCACTCAACTAAAACTACTCTCTCCAAAATTATTAATGATCTTTCAATTGCCAAATGTGATAGTCTTTTCTCAGTTCTTACCTTTGTCAACCAATCTGCTGCATTTTACTCTGCTGACCACCCTCTCTTCCTGGTTATTTACTCTCTCCTTTTTGTGGTTTTGTGATACTTCTCTCTTTATTCTCCTACCTGAATAATTGCTGCTTGGCACTTTTTTTTTGCTGACTCATCATCATGATGATGTCACCAACCACAGATATTCCCCAAGGCTCTGTCCTAGGCTTTCTTTTCTTTATATTCTCTTGGTGACCCTATTAGCTTGGTGAGCTAATAGGTTTAATTGTCACCTCTAACAATAGGTTTGCAATGCCCTTTACTTATGTCACTTTATTTTGTCCTCAAAATAACTCTATGCAGAACCTATGCAGAAGATTCATAGCTCCTTCTTAATTGAATTTCAGTTACATATCATTAACTGGCTATCAAAAATTTCAAACTGCATGTCCTATAAATATCTCAAATTCAACATGTCCAAATTTTTGCCCCTAAACCCTCCCCTCTTCTACATTTCTCTATGTCTCTTGAAGGCATCATTCTCATTCCAGTCTCCCAAGTTTATAACCTTGGCATTATCCGTGGTTCCCCATTCTCCCTTACTCTACATATCCAGTTGCCCAATCTTACCATTTCTACTTTTATAAGATCTCTCTAATCCAATCCTTTCTCTCTACTTGCAGAGCTACCACATTATTTCATGCCTCATAACCTCCTGCCTAGATTATTGCAATAGCCTCCTAACTGGTGTCCCTGCCTCAGGTGTCTCTCTACTCCAATCTATTCTTCACACTGCTACCAAAGTCATTTTCCTTAAACACTGATCTGATCACAGCACTCTCTTACTTAATAAACTTTATTAGTTCTTTATTGCCTCTAAGGATAAAATAGAAAATCTTATGTTTGGCTTTTAAAGCCCTTTGCAACCTGGCCTTAACCTGTATTTGAACTCTTATCATATAAAACTTCCCTTTTCAAACTCTACAATTCAGCCAAACTAGCCTTCTCTCTATTCCTCATGCATGACACCACATCTTTCTCTCTCTCTGCCTTTGTACTGGCTTCCTCCATGCTTGGAATACACTTCTTCATCACCTCTACCTTGCAGAATTCATCTCTTCCTTTAAAATGCTTTCTAGTACCACCTTCTACATGAAGCATTCCCCCCTGATATTCCCTATTGCTAGTGCCCTCACTCCTAAACTACTTTGTGTTATTTGTATGGCATAAAGTCAGCCATGAAACTAAGAAGACTTGGGTTCAATCTTGCCTGACCCATGCTGGCTGAGTAACTCTGGACAAATTGCAACATTCTGGTTTGCATTGGTAGCGGGAGTTTCTTTACCCTGCATTTCCTTCTTCTAATAAAGTTACAGATCCCATCCCTATCCTTCTTTATATTTATTCAGTGCATATTTGTATGCATACTTGTTACAATATAAACTCCTGAAACCTAGGGATTATTTCATTCTTTGTAACATTTTAAACTCTATAGCAGTGTCTGGCATATGGTAAGATCATAATAAACACTTTTTGCCACATTTTTTGATTGGCTGATTGATTCACACAATGTGATTGGCTGATCATACACTCCTTAGGGTCAAGTCAGAGCTCGATTGGGATCCCTGTAGGGAACTCTGGCTTCCACTTTGAAGACCATTGCTTTTGTCAGCTGAGTAATACTTAGTATAATCCTGAAATACTAAGAATAATGAGTGAATCTTTCTTGGATATGGAAATTACCCATTAGGGACTTTGCCAACATCCTCAAGGAGGTGATCTGTTATTTGAGACCTCATATGAGTGGGACTTCTTTTAAGAAGTTTGCTATACAGAGCTATCACCCAAGCTCACTTAAACCATTCTTACCAAAATTGATTTGTTGTTAGCTTGTAGTCTGGCAATGACATTTTCAGTTGCTTTGATTTTTCTGTCAAAGTCCAGCTGGATCTGCTGAAGTTCAGCCTGTTAGAAGATAAAGAGACTATTGAAAAGAAAGGTGAATATGTGGACTCTGCTCTTTTCACACGAAAAGAACAACCTCAACTTAATTTCTGGGAAATAACCAAGGTCACACAGCTGAGTAAGTTGCCCTCCTATAAATTAAATGTGGAAAGAATTTGTTGAGACCCAACAACCTGGAATTCTGAATTGAACAAATTCAGAAGGGTTCAGAAATAAATGTATCAGGTAGAGCTGAGCTTTCCTTTTTTTATTTCCCAGCTGGGTCTAATGACTCATAAAGGAATCTCAAGCTTTTTTTGGCATTTCTGAAAAGGAGACCCTCATCCAATTTCATCTCATGCTTAGGGTTAATTAATCACTTATTGAGAGGATTGAGCTATTTGAAAGAGATAAATGCTTTTAAAATTCACCACTTTTTTTTGTTTTGAACTTGTATCTTCCACTGTTTCTTTCAAATAATAGACATGTGGGGCAGCTAAGTAGTGCAGTGGATAGAGCATGGGCCCTGAAGTCAGGAGGACCTGAGTTCAAATCCGGCCTCAGACCAAACACTTGACACTTACTAGCTGTGTGACCCTGGGCAAGTCACTTAACCCGAAATGCCCCCCCAAAATAAGTAGACATGTAATAAATGCTCTTAAAAACTGAAATAAACTTAATCACATTGGGCTATGAGGATGAAAAGCAAAATAATCCTAGAAGCTTTTAATAGCTGCTATAGGTCATTATGTGCTAATGAAATTCAAAGGCAATGAATTAAGTAACTTTTTTCTACCATTATATCCAGAAAATGTTGTCAAAGACACTATATGCAAGCAGAGTTATAAAGTCTAGCAAGTCAAACAGGAAAGTCTCAGAGTGGAATGCCTTATCATTTCCAAAGGCATTGAACTTTAGGAGAAAACCAACAGCCTCAGTGATTGACAGAAGAAAATGACACAGTTTCCTCAGCTTCATACTTTAGGCCTCATTGAGGTCAGAAGGACGCATGTTGTATGGAAATGGTTAGCCTTATATGTATACAAAGGAGATTGAGAGAGGGAGAGAGGGAAAAAAGCCTACATTTCCCAAAATATTTCCTACTTCTTCTCACCTACATCCACTGTGTCACCTCCATCTTCTCTCCCATAACTCACAAATAATTTGTGCGATGGCTATCTTTGTGACATGAAAATCTTTCCCTATCAATTAGCCCATTGTGATTTCTTTAAAATGTAGCCTTGTAGCTCTATAAATGTAGGCTTTTACAAAATCAGTGTTTAAATCTGTAAATTAGTCTGTTTACTAATTTCTTCTCACTTAATTTGTTCACCCTTAATTGAAGGAAGCATGTGATAATGAATCTGTTTGACTAGACTGGTGTAACCTTTAAGAGGCCATATTGTTATATGTTTAAAAAATTATTTCTCTGGTGCAATTTTATCTATAAAGACTTGTCAGAAACTCAAATTTTGGCTCAAGGTTACTTTTCTATGTCCTGACACTCTGTTTAAACATAATAAAAGGTAGATTTTTACATCTATTATTTCTGTGTTGGGATAGATTTATTGGTATTCAAAAACAAGATATTTCTCCCATTAACACTTGGAATCCCTGTCATTAGAGGTTTGATGCCAAGGACAAGGACCTTTCTTTTTTTAAAAATTAATTTGTTTTTTTTTAGTTTCAACATTCACTTTCATAAGCTTTTGAGTTTTAAATTTTCTCTTCCCCTCTCTCTTCCCCTCTCCCCAAGATGTTATGCAATCTGATACAGGCTCTACATATACACTCATATTAAACATATTTTCACATTACTCATGTAATGTAAAGAAGAATTAGAACCAATGGGAGGAACTATGAGAAATGAGAAACAAAACAAAACAACAAAAAAAGAGAGCAACTAGTATGCTTCCATTTGCATTCAGACTCCAGATTCTTTCTCTGGATGTGGACAGCATTTTCTATCATGAGTCTTTTGGAGCTGTTTTAGATCCTTGCATTGCTGAGAAGGCTAAGTCTATGAAAGTTAATCATTGCACAATGTGGCTGTTACTGTGTACAATATTCTCATGGTTCTGCTCATTTCCTCAGTTCATACAAGTCTTTCCAGGTTTTTCTGAAGTCTGCCTGCTCATCATTTCTTATAACACAAAAGTATTCCATTATATTCACATACCACAACTTGTTCAGCCATTCCCCAATTGATGGGCATCCCTTCAATTTCCAATTCTTGGCCACCACAAAAAGAGCTACTATAAATATTTTTGTACATGTGGGTCCTTTTGCCATTTTTATGATCTCTTTGGGATACAGACCTAGAAGTGGTATTGCTGGGTCAAAATTGCACAGTTTCATAGCCCTTTGGGCATAGTTCCAAATTGATCTCCAGAATGATTGGATCAGTTCACAACTCCACCAACAATGCATTAGTGTTCCAATTTTCCCACATCTTCTCCAACATTTATCATTTTCCTGTTCTGTCATGTTAGCCAATCTGAGAGGTGTGATGTGGTACCTCAGAGTTGTTTTGATCTGCATTTCTCTCATGACTTATTCAAATCCAAATTTTATTTCAGATTTATTTTTTGTCTGGAATTTAAATCTATGCTTCATCATAATAAAATCCAGGTTTTACTTATCTCTATAATTTCTGTGTTGTGGTACATAAATGTCATCAGCAGTTACTTGCTTAACATATGAACTCAGAAAGGAGATATTTCTTCTATAATATACAGGAAAGTCAAACCTATGTTTGAATCCTGGTATCCACACTTACTAGTTTTATTACCTTGGGTAAGTAATATAATTCCTCTGGGCTTCAATTTCCTCAATAAAATGAGGATAATATTTCTATTATTAGTTATGAGAAAAATACTTTGAAAACCTTAAAGTACTATAAAAATGTGAGCTATTATCATATATGTGATCTCTATATAGTGCATGCTTTCTGAATTGTTTACTAACACATATATCTACATTTTATAGAAAAATACATAAAAAAAGATAACAGACTGTTAGATACAAATCCTACAGGAAAGATACACATTGTAGTCTAGTGATATATTTAAATGGCTTCCATTTGGAGTCTGAATGAATGACGGATGAGAGAAATGGGATGGAAGAGGGCTCTTGGTAATAGATAAAGAAAGCCTTTTTTCAGAATAGCTGAGGGTAGAGGAAATGATAAATACCCAGATAATTAAAACAAAATTTTTTTTTAAATCAAGCAAGAACAAAAATGAACTGTGTGGAAAGCCCTAGATGCCTAGTACATGCCCTACTCTTGATCCTCCCTATGTATATAAAATGACCCCACCCCAAGAGCCCTGAGCAACTCACCTGCTTTTCCCTCCTGACTGCCTCTAGGGAGAGAGTAGGGTGGCCCCTGTGGTCTTCCTGGGTACATTCTTCACAGATGCATTGCTGCTCCAAGCAGCAAAACCAAGTAAGTTGGCGCTGGTGAGCTGAGCAGTTGCGTGGGTCTGTATCCCTTACTGGCTTGGTCAGCTGGTGACTATGCAGCTTGCTGTTCTCCTGATGGGGCCGAACATGATCCTCACAATAATTCACCATACAGGTCAAGCAGGACTTCACTGCCCTCACTTTTCCCTCAAGGCAGAAGTCACAAGTGATCTCATTCTCCCCACTACTAAGAGCCCCCTGCTCTGGAATCCTTCCTTCCCTTTTAGATCCAGTCACTGTCTTCTCCAGCCTTCCCCTAGGCTCACTTCCAGAACTGCGTGTGTTCTCATTTTCCTCTTTCTCTTCGTGGCTTTCTGTCTCAATATCAGGATCGCGCAGTGCTGGTATCTGAGGAGTGGACTGAACTACTGGAGGTATTGTGTCTAATTCAGCCATTTGAGAGGGTCTCAGTACAGAAATCTCCCTGTACGGCATATCAGTGAAGGAACTGAAGAACAAGAAATCAAGGAAATAAACCACGCCTAGATGATTGCAGCTGCTACTGGGGCTTTAACTGTTTCCTGTCCTCTAGAAAACCGGTTTACTAATTATATTATTCTTAGCCAGGACAAGAGCCAACAGCCAGTGATATGTTGCTTGGGTTAAGTTACTTAGCATATAGGTCAAAGGCAGCTCAGAACCACTCCTCTTCAGTTTCAAGCCTCTCCTGTGTTCCTCCCTGAAACCCTGCCAGATCTCCTGCAGGCTGGAACTTCAAGGACTTTTAGAGTAATCTTTCTTTTTCTTTTTTTTTTCCAGATGCTTTGCCAAAGATAGTGTGTTTTCTAGTACCTAAAGTCACCCTGGTCAGGACTCAAGAATCCTCCGTTCTTATCTAAGTTTCCACTGTTCCACCATGTACAAGCCACCCTCTGGATTTCAGTTGTCCTGTACCAAACACAGGGAGATTGAGGAAACATGTTCTCATTGTGTGTGTGTGTGTGTGTGTGTGTGTGTGTGTGTGTGTGTGTGTGTGATTTTTTTCCCCCATACACCCATATGTGTATATATGTATGTATGTCCCAGGATATATATCCCATATATATCCCAGGATATACCACATCAAAATCCTGGAGGTTCAAGGAACCTGAGAAGTCTTCAAACATAACCCTTTTCCAAATAAACATAAAGAATAAATTAGGAAGCAGGCATACCGTATTTCACTACATAATCATTGGCACTGCATAATCGTTGCACCCTTTTTTTTTCAGTCCAAAAATTGGTTTATAACCTTTCATTGTGTAATCATCAGATGGTATAATTCTGTTTGTCACGCCGCTTAAAATGTAAGCAGAGCAGCAATGTATTCACCAGTGGCATATGGATACGCATTTATCGCTTGCACATTGCTAGCCAAGAGCCTAGAATTCTCAGCATATATTTTCATCAGTATATTTTTGAAAGCCAACTTGCATGGCTTGTTTAGAATGCTTCAGTACTAATGGTATTATCACTCAACCCAGTGAAGAACCGTAGGCTCAAGGAGAGCTGGCTGGCAGGCAAAGTTGCCATGAACAAGTCACGTAATATGGTAAGACTTGCATCTTCCCGCCCTAGCTAAACTGTACAGTTCATCTGCCAGTGATACATTAACATGCAAAGTATTTCTTTCTGATTATGAGTAAAACTACAAAAACTATTCTGTGGGCTTCAAGCTGAAAGTGATTGTGTTCACTGAACAGCATGGAAACAGAGTTACATAAAGATAGTTTTCAGTGAGTGAAAAGTTGGTGTGAGATTGATGAAAACTAAAAGACAAATAATGCTGGCCAAAATTTTTTTAAAGCTTCACGTAATGGTCGCACTCCACTTTTTGCAAAAAATTGTCATAAAATTTGCAATGATTATGTGGTGAAATATAGTATCCTTAAAGAAGATTATAATGACAAAAAGAAAGGACTCATATACACCAAAATATTTATAGCAGCAATTTTTGTGGTAGCTAAGAACTGGAAACAAAGTAAATGCATATTGTTTAGTAAATGACTAAACAAACCATGCAGGATAGATGCTGCGGGCTCACTCTCAAAAGCCTACTTAAACTAGCCGTTCAGCTCACCAGAGCAAGGCTACTTTTTAGGACAATGTATTGCTCACAAGCTACCAATCTGGAGTGTTTTCCTCAGTATCTATTGTCAATTAATATCATCCAGTATCATTTAACAAATTAGTATCAATTAGTTTTTACAAAAGGATATTTACTGAAAAAACTACAGCCAGTCACTCTCCCCTCTATACATTTCCATCCTTAGGGAAAGTTGACTCAAATCCAAAGTAATTGCTACAAAACACTCCTTTCCCACCAAAGGGGGAGTACTCCCAGGCTTTAGCAGTCTTTTTCTCCCTTTGTGGAATCCCCTCTGAATTCATTTCTGAATGTGTCAGCCAATGAATATGTCTATCTCTTGTTTGCAGAATGTAACTTCTCAGCTAACAGCTTGATGGCTTGCCTTCTCAATTAGTGGAGAGGAGAGTGAGAGAATTTGGAACTCAACATTTTAAAGAAAGGAATGTTAAAAACAGTTTTTATGTGTAATCGGGAGGGGGGAGGAATTAAATAATTAATTAATTGATTAAAAAAAAAACCAACAGTGATGGGAAGTGATGTACCTCTGAAAACTTCCAGAAACTAGAATGATTCTAAGCTGTCTAAAAACAGGAATCCTGGTGATGGCCAAACTCTGCTTATTTTGTGACTAGAGAGCTGTCCCCCACTCCACTCTCTCCAAGCAGGCCCTTGCCAGGATTCCGGGCTCTGCCTCCTTCCTGGCCACAGAAGTATGCCAGAGCTTACTCCAGTGGATGGAAACCCTATGGCTCTTGGCCACTCTGGAGATCATGCTCCTGTTTAGAGCAGGAAAGGCTGTGGATGAGAAAGGTCACAGTCACCAGTCTATTCAGGCTTCTTCTGCTTTATGTTAGAGATGTAAGTGTGCAGAGAGGCACAACGACCATAGATAAACACACACAGCTAGTTGTTAATATCTATGCAGTGTATAATGGATGGGTGTCTCTGGGGCTGTTGACATTAGCGTAAGTGAACCAGCTGAAATAGCATATACAAAGTAGGTGGGGAAGCAAATAAAAATTATGGACAACAAAATCTTGTCAAAGGCAAACTTTTAAAAAACTTGAAATGTAGACCAGCCTATTCTTCCATAATAAATTCATGATCCTATCCATGTGGGTGCTCCCTCTAGCCATCCTGGGTAACCCTTGTCCACACCCTCCCATGAATCTGCCACAGGGGTACATGCTGATGTCATTCCCTAAATTCTTGTGATGTTGCATGAAGATCCAGAAGCCATGTGGATATCTATGGTTGCCCCTGGCTCTGGATATAACACATCCATCTCTTTTTCTGGTGATTTGCCTCTCCAATGACAGCCTGTATACCACTTTTTTTACACAACACCTGGTTTGTAATGTGTTGCAGCTTGGAGACACGCTCCATGTACCTCTCCATGGCCCTTTCAGTGATTGTCAATTTCAGTTTTTTGAAAAGGGAAGGATTCCATGACTCATCCAATGTCACTGCAAAAACATTGGTATTCAAAAGATGGGCTTTTGTTCAGGGAAATCTTGGGGTCTTTAAAAGAATATATGCATACATATGTACACACATATACACATACACACATATGTGTACACACACACACATATGGGAATGATTCTTGAAAGCCTTACCTAGTCACAGAAAAAGGGCTTAAATAATGAGATATTTCACTGAAAAAGATGTGGCCATATGGTTCCCTGACTGGGGATCGAACCCGGGCCACCGCTGTGAGAACACCAAATCCTAACGATATGATGAGGTCTAGAGGTTTGGGGTGCTGGGACCCCTGAGATCATGACGTGGGCCCTGTCTCAATGAATTCAACCCAAATCTTCTTTCAGCCAGAGGAAAGGTTTATTAGAGATAAATCATATAGAACAGGTGACACCCATAAGGACGAGCAGACATGAGAAAAAGCTCAGCCTTTTGGGCATGAGTGATTCTCAGCGTCTGAATGAGGGCCAGGGTGGATCTTATATACACTAAAGTAACTTTGGGTAACCAGGGAAGGGGCTGGGAAAAGAGTCTGGGTGAGAATTCAGATTGGAATGTCTAAGAGATTGAATAGACAATGGGAATGGATAATGAAGGGAACTGGAAGGAAGAAGTTTGAAAGGCATCTGAATAAGATCAAAAGGTCGGGTTAGGGCTTTTAAAGGGAGATAAGGAGCTGGGGCCTGTTGACAAATGGAAGCCAGATTCCCTTTGGGGCAAGGGGCAAAGATCTTGGCTTGGGCCCACACCCCATCAAAATTACCCATAAAAGGGAAGCAGATAAAAGAATAGATTAGAAACCAGAATCCAATAATATGTTGTTTGCAAGAAACACACTTGAAACAGAGACACACACACAGAGTTGAAATAAGGGGCTGAGTAGAATCTATTATGCTTCATTTGATATAAAAAAGGCAGAGGTAGCAATCCTGATTTCAGACAAAGTAAAGCAAAAATAGATTTTGTTAAAAGGAATAAGCAGGGACACTACATTTTGCTAAAAGATAGATCGTAGACAATGAAGTAATATCAGTACTAAACATATATGCACCAAATGGCACAGCATCCAAATTCTTAAAGGAAAAATTAAATGAGTTACAGGAGAAAAAAGATAGTAAAACAATACCAATGAGGGAACTCAATTTTCCCTTCTCAGAGTTAGATAAATGTAACCATAAAATAAACAAGAAAGAAGTTAAGGAGATGAATAGAATCTTTAAAAAGTTAGGCATGATAGGTCTCTGGAGAAAACTAAATGGGAATAGAAAGGGGTATAATTTTTTCTCTGCTGTATATGGCACCTTTAAAAAAATTAACCATATATTAAGGCATAAAAAATCTCACAATCAAATGTAAAAAAACTAGAAATATTAAATGCACCCTTTTCAGAACATAGTGCAATTAAAATTCCATTCAATTAAAGACCTTGGAAGCATAGGTTAAAAATTAATTGGAAACTGAATAATTTAATCCTAAAGAATGAGTGAGTCAAAGAACAAATCATAGAAACAATCAACAATTTCATTCAAGAGAATGACAACCATGAGACAAGATACCAAAATTTGTGCATTGAAGCCAAAGCAGTATTTAAGGGAAATTTTATATCTCTAAACAAATACATCAGTAAAAGAAAGAAAAAGCAGATCAATGAATTGGGTATGCAACTAAAAAACAAACTAGAAAAAGAACAAATTAAAATTCCCAATTAAACACCAAACTGGAAATCCTGAAACTCAAAGGAGAAATTAATAAAATTGAAAGTAAAAAAATGATAATAAACTAATAAATAAATAAAAATAGGAGCTGGTTATGAAAAAAATAAAATAAACAATTGGTTAATTTGATATTTGAAAAGAACGAAAACAAAATTACAAGTCTTGACAATGAAAAAGGTGAATGTTCCACCAATGAAGATGAAATTTAATAATTATTAGGAGTCATTTTGCCCAAATATATGCCAGTAAAACTTACAATCTAATTGAAATGGATGAATATTTGCAAAAATATAAGTTGTCCAGATTAACATAAGAAATAGAATATTTAAATAATCTTATCTTAGAAAAAGAAATTGAACAATCCATCTCATAGATCCCTAAGAAAAAATCCCCAGGATCAGATGGATTTACAAGTGAATTCTACCAAACATGTAAGGAACAATTAATCACAAACTACATAAACTATTTGAAAAAATAGGCAGAGAAGGAATTGTACCAATTTTCTATCACACAAATATGTTTTTGATACTTAAACCAGGAAGAACAAAAACAGAGAAAGAAAAATATAGCCCAATTTCCTTAATATCAATAAAAAATTTTAATTAAAATACTAGCTAGAAGATGACAGCAATATATCACAAAGATCATGCATGATGACCAGCTGATGGTTATATCAGAATTTCAGGGCTGACTCAATATTAGGAAACCATAAACATAATTGATCATATCAATAACAAAAAATTTTAAATCATATGATTATATCAATAGATGCAGAAAAATCTTGACAAAACATAACATCCATTCCTATTAAAAACTCTAGAACATAGAAATAAATGGAGCCTTTCTTAAAATGATAAGTAGTATCTATCTAAAATCAAGAGCAAGCATTATCTGTAATATGGATAAACTTGAAACTTGATCAGAGGTTAAGCAAGGATGTCCATCATTACAATTATTATTCAGTATTATACTAAAACCAAATAGCTATGCTACTAAGACAAGAAAAAGAAATTGAAGAAATATAAACAGGCAACGATAGTTTTTATCACTCTTTTCAGATGATATGATGGTATATTTTCCAAATGCGATAGTACAGTATACTATATAGTATGTGATAGTATACCCTAGAATCAACTAAAAAAAAAATAGTTGAAATGATGAACAACTTTAACAAAGTTTCAGGATATAAAATCAAGCCACATAAATCATCAGCATTTCTATATACTGCCAACAAAACCCACCAGGAAGAAACGGAATGAGAAATTCCATTTAAAATAACTGGTGGTTTGAGTGATAAAGATGATCCAGATTTAGGATACATCTAGGTGAGCTTGGGATTTCTCAAGGAAGTTGCTGGATCAACAAAAAAGTAAATATTGTGGCTCTTGTATGTCTGACCCTCTTAAACTCACTAGAGTGTCAGCATTGATTAGAACTAATTCTAGTCTTTTCAAAATTCTAGCAGAATAATGTAGGCAATATGCTAGGACACAATACTTGCATACTTTGACCATCCATGCTGGCTATGCAGAGACTTACAAGAGGATAGAGATAGGTTCTACTGAACACGACAGGAGTCCTGCCTGTTAACTCTCTTATATGGATCTTGAGGTATTTGACTTTGAGAAATTTCCAGTACCATAAAAGTGAAAGGATAGGTTTAGGCTGGAACTCAGCAAGAGAACAAGTGTGTTTTCATTGCACAAGTGAGATGTGGGAGGTGCTTGAGGTACAACCCACACAATCTAGCTCCCTGATTGTCAATCATTCAAAGAAATATCTATGAGGATTTCTCTTTCTATGATGGAGGATCTCAGAAACCATTTTTTTAAAAATGTTGATTAATGGCATCATCATAGAATTCAGTGGCCCTTGCACATCACCCATAGTGGTGGTGCCTAGGAAAAACAAAAAGATAAAGAGATGTGTATAGATTAAAGAGTGAACAAAAGAACTAAAGTAGACCCACATGCTATAGCATAAGTGCAAAATGCCCTGGATTATCTGTTCAGCAGCCAGTCTTTTTCAGTCTTGGACTTACATAATGAATACTACCAGATTCCTATGTCTGAGGAAACAAAGAAAATACTACTTTCATTTATTCAGGGGCTCATGAGTTAGCTGAGTAATGGAAAGCTAACCCATATAAAGTTACTGAGAAACTGGGCAAATTGCCTGTTTACAAAATAGTCCCAGAGAATGCAAAGGGCCCTATTAGGACTATTTGCTGTACCCACTTTTTGCCCAAGGGAGAGTTAGTTGGACTTTATAAAGAACAGTTAGAGAGAACTAATGGACTTTCAATGCAAAGGTTGAAGAAAAGAGGCTGTCCATTAGCTATACAAAGACTTTCCAATGCAGATAAGGATGTCAAAAGTGATGCATCAGTGAAGGAGATTGTGTGTATTATTATGGTGCAGAAGAAATAAACTAAGAGGCCATTCTTACCTTGCCCAAAACTATAATAAAGACTCTTAGGGTACAGATTTACCCACAGGTCTGTAACACACTGATAGCCTACCTAATATGGTTGTAAAGCCAGATGTAAACAAACAAGTCCATAGTGATCCGGACAGCCATCCCATATACTAAGTTGTATAGGAGCTGACATACCAGTCAGTGACAGGAGACTAGGTCCATCAGACCAGGCTGTTTGAGTATTACAGGTAAAGCTGAAGACATAGCTGCTCATGTATCTAGGTGATAATATTAAAGATAGCCCATGTGAAGAGGGCCTTGCATGTAATTGAATGTTTACTTCTGTACATGTACTGCATGTTTGAATATACTTATTTCTTTATTTTGCTATTATGTTCATTTGACTATGTTCGTGTACTATGTTGATGCTATAGCGTGTCCTGGTTGTTTTGCGTATGTACTGTTGCTTATAGCTAAATCGTATTTAGTACACAGACCTATTGATAGTGGTATTGTTGCAGCTAACAAGCTTTGCTTTGTTAGTTAGCCATGCTTGTTACTTTAATCAATTTCTGTGTATTATGGATATGTATGTGTAATGTCCTGTATGTAATTAGGTATGTGGGAAAAATTATTGATTACCGAATTGTAGAGACACAAAGACCTATTACAGTCAAGGGAAAGAAGGAAAGAAGATGAGCATTGTTTGAACCTTACTCTCATCAGATTTGGCTCAAGGAGGGAATAACATACTCAGGTATAGAATTCTAACTTGCCCTATAGGCAGCAGGAAGGGAAAGGGGAAAGAAAAGAGGGGGGAGATAGGAGGGAAGGAAGAAGTAGTAAGGGAAAAGAGAAAGAAAAGGCAAGGGGCAGATAGAAAGGAGGGCAGATTGAGGGAGGCAATGGAAAATAAAAGACAACCTAGGAGGTCAGCAGGAAAAGTCTGTAATATTCTGGAGGGCAAAGGAGCTAGGATTACAATCAAGAATCACCTACCCAGCAAAACTAAGAATAATCCTTTGGGGGAGGGGGTCAGGGGTAGAAGGAATGGACATTTAATGAAATAGAGGACATTCAAGCATTCCTGATGAAAAGACCAGAGCTGAATAGAAAATCTGATCTTCAAATACAAGAGAAGCATAAAAAAAGTAAACAGGAAAAAAAAATTCTAAGTAATTCAATAAGGTTAAACTGTTTACATTCCTACATGGGAAGATCCTTGTAACTACTAAGACCTTTATCATTATTAGGACAGTTAGAAGGAGTATACATAGACAGAGGGTATGGTATGAGTTGACTATCAGTACTAAACATATATACACCAAATGGGATTGCATCCAAATTATATTCAATTAAAAAGTTTTGCAGGAACAAAACCAATGCAGTCAAAATTAGAAGGAAAGCAGAAAACTGGGAGTTTCTCTGATAAAGGACTCATTTCTCAAATATGTAGAAAACTAAATCAAATTTCTCAAATATATAGAGAGTTGGGACAAATTTATAAGAATACAAATCAGGGTAGCTATTTGGCACAGTGGATAGAGCTCTGGCCTTGGAGTCAGGAAGACCTGAGTTCAAATCCAGCCTTGGACACTTAACACTTACTAGCTGTGTGACCCTGGGAAAGTCACTGTTAAACCCTGATTGCCTCACAAAAAAAAAAGGATACAAATCATTCCCCAACTGATAAATGTTCAAAGGATATCATATGAATAAATGCTCTCAATCACTATTAATTAGAGAAATATAAATTAAAACAACTCTGAGGTACTGCTTCACACCCATCAGTTTTTTAAAGTAAGCTACAGATAGTTGGTGCACATTTCTAATATTCTGATGTGGACACAATTATGCCCTCACACAAAATGTCTCTTAGTATGTACTGGAAGGTCAAATACTGAAGCTGAAGCTTAAATACTTTGGCCACATAATGGGAAGATGGGATTCATTAGAAAAGACCCTGATATTGGGAAAGACTGAAGGCAAAAGTAAAGAGGATGGCAGAGGATGAGATGGATAGATAGTGTCATAAAAACAACAAACATGAATTTGGACAGACTTCGAGAGATAGCAGAGGACAGAAGGGCTTGGCATGCTCTATAGTCCACGGGGTCACGAAGAGTTGGACATGACTGAACAAATGAACGACAACAACTACTGTCAGAGATAGGATACAGTGGTGAAGATGAACGATTAAACTGATTCCATATGGCATTTCTGACTTCTTATGCTGAACTGACAAATGCATCAGTGATTTTTGTATGGCCCTATCTAACAGTTAAATTTCTTCCCTTTCTCTTGAGATAAAGTTTCCATACTCACCTCTCTCTTGAATGAGCTTGGACTCTGAAGATTCATGCTTTAGTAGGCTCCTCATGGGCTCAAGTGGGTTATTCAATAACTCTGGTGCTGCTCCAAAAGGCACTTCTGAGCTTGATTCATTTCCACATACACAGGATGAGACCTGGAAACAATTAGGTTATGATTGGGCTTGTGAATAAGCAACTGTGGGAACCAGAGTTAACACCTCAGAAGAGACAACTTAGGGAACATCTCTTAGGGTCACAGGAAAGAGGAAAAATGTGTCAGTCTCATTCACTGCCCAAGGTAAAGGCCAGAGGGGAAGAGAGAACTAAAATCAAAGACATATCAGGTCTGGCTGATGGGGTGGGCCCAAGCCAAGATCTTAGCCCCTTGAACTAAAAAGAATCTGGTTCCCATTTGTCTACAGGCCCCAGAAAACCCTTAAACCTTTAGGTTCCTTATTGATTCCCCTTATCTCCCTTTGAAAGCCCTAGCCTCACCTTTTGATCTTATGCAGATGCCTTTCAAACCTCTTCCTTCCAGTCCCCTTCATTATCTGTTCCCATTGTCTATTCAATCTCTCAGACCTTCCAATCTGAATTCTCACCTAGACTCTTTTCCCAGCCTCCTTCTCTGGCCAGCCAAAGATACTTCAGTGTATAAAAAATCCACCCTGGCCCCCATTCAGACGCTGAGAATCTCTCATGCCCAAAAGGCTGAGACTTTCTCATGCCTGCTCGTCCTTACGGGTGTCACCTGGCCTATGTGTTTTATCACTAATAAACTTTTCCTCTGGCTGGAAGACGATTTGAGTTAAATTCTTTCAGACAGGGCCCAGTGTTGAAATCTCGGGGGTTCCCAGTAGCACCCCCAAACCTCTAGACCTCTTCATGGCCACAAGGAGACAGAAGCTCCCATTGTTGTGTTACTGTTTGTTACTTAGCCTGGGAGGTATCTACTTCTATTTTCCCACTATTTATCACATCTCCCCCCTTTCCACCTGCTGTCTTGGTTCATCAAGTTTTCTTTCCAAATCTTCCAAAATAGTCACTGCCTCTTCTCCACTCTCTGGATGATACTCTAGAACCCAGGTCTGGAGCTCCTCACGCCGAATGGTCAGGAATTGCTCTAATTAGTGTTGCCCTCTGAGAGGTTGAGACCCTCAAAGACCGGAATACAGGATGGGGTTGTCTGGAATGAATTTACAGACTCAAACATTCTTTAAGTCAAGTTGGCAAAGATTTATTGTTATGCTTTTCAGTGGGCAAGGATTTTTAAGGAACCTGCGAGAGACTGAGGATGGTTCTGGGGTTTATATGGAAAAGGGCATAGGAAAGGAATGCTAGGGATACTAATTAGGTCATCTAAAGGTCCAGGTGTCTTTGGGAGCTATGGATGGGAAAGTGTAGGGAGTATACTAGACATTGAGGGAATTGTCAGAGGCATGGACTTTGGGGATCTGGCAGGAGGAAGAGTCTTTGGGTCAGCCAGGGACAAAAATCCTTGGGCCAGTTACCCCTCTCTCTGTCCTGATTAGAGAATGCTCTGCAACAAGAGAAAATTTTCTCACAGGACAGGAGCCTACTAAGAAATTGGGAGGCGTCCACAGACATGAGCTTAGGTCTGGGGCCTGAGCATCTCTATCACTCTCTCACCCAGCTTTGTGTTACTGCACCAGGGAGAAATAAGGGTCTTGCTGGGGCCCACTCATGAGTAATTGCTAGGCACAGTGTCCTTGGGGTGGTGGGAAACTGCCAAGGATAGTGTTTCTGAGGCTAGGGAGAAATATGTTCTTAGAACTGGGGTCCCAGTACAAGCAACCCAGCACCCCATCACTAGCAGCTGTAGGATTTGCTCCTTTGTGTGCAACTCTGGCTTTAGCCACTGACAGCATGAATTGGCTCTGAGCCTCACGCTGTCTGAAGTGCTGATGGGAGATCTCCTGATTATAAGGGTTTTTCCATTGTAGTCCATATTCCTGCCCCCAGGTAAAGTCTTCTTTTACTTTCAGGGGACATTCTGGCTCTTGTGAGTCCTGATGGCTAAGGCTGCCACCATACTGAGTTGAAACAGCTCAGAAAAAGCTTCACTCTACCTGGAGGCCTCTACTTCAGGGTGATAATGTCCCCACGGAATAGTTCTTTTTTAGGATCACTCCTGGGGAATAAAAAAAATTAGTGTTAACTTACAGAAATGACAAAGGCTGCTATCACATAAATGAGGGCTTGCACTCATTGAAAATAGTAACTGTTGGGAAGAAAGAAAGCACCAAAGTGGTAGTAAAGGCAAGTGTACTCTTGAAAAGGTGCTTGCTTTAGAGTCCGAGGAGCTGGTTTTGAATTCCAGGTCCACTACGGATATGGTACAAATTCTCTGGCCATCAGTTTCTTCATCTTTAAAAAGAAAGATTGGACTAGATGCCTGAGGTTCTAAATCTATGATACTAAATAAATACGTCAATTCAAAGTGAAAAGTCGGGTCATTCGCCCTGATACAAAAAGTGAAACACAACTTTAAGGAGAAAATGATTATTTATGTCTTAGAAATCAAATGAGGGTTAATAATTAACAAGGGAGTGATCGATATAAATGGCTCCGCCTCCGAGGCAATATAAACTTTTGGAAATTATTATTACAGCATACAAGTTTTTTAATTGTCGGAGGCCCGACCCAGGGGAGGCTAGAAAGCCTCGCCCAACAGCTTCACTCCGCCTCAGGGGCGGGGAAGGCGATACTTCCGGCAAACAAGGGGGGGTGGGGCGGAACGGGACAGGAGGGGAGGAGGTTCCTGCACACGCCCCGCCCAGGCCGCTGCTGTTCCCGCCTCCCTCGCCGCGAGTCCTCCGAGACTCGCGGTTAAGGACTCTCGGAATTCGGATCCGGACACTCACACAAAGGGGGTGGGGTGGGGTGGGGGGGTGGGGAAACAAGCCAGGGCGGAAGACTGTCAACCGACCTTCGGGCCGGGAGAGCAGGAGCCACTTCCGGCTTTCTCTAGGAATCCCCACCTCGGTGGTAAGGTCGGCTTCAGGCGTCCGCCTGTGCCGTGGCCCTTCGCTGGGATTGGTGCCCACTCTAGTTCAGGAGTAGGGCGGCTTTCCACACGGAATGATCCCACCCTCATCTTCCTAAGCCCTGTTCTGGCTCTCCAAAACACATTCTTGTCCATCCTCCTCGTGGGAGTCTTCTCTCGAGTCTTTTCAGCCAACTCAGGAAAAAAAAATCCCTATAGGTGCAAGAGCCACCCCTCCCTCCCCCTCGTCAGAACGGGTCCTAGAAGGGGTGTCCTCTCACCACGGTGGGGTCAGAAACCCTAATTCTCACTTAGCCTTTTCTCCCAACATTTCATAATTATCCTGCTTTCTTTAGTAAATCCAAGAAATTCTAGGGGCAGGATCATGGTCCAGTGAAAAGAATGCAGCATTTAGAAAAAGGAGACCTGGATTCAAATCCCTTTTGAGCCACTTACTAGCTCCATAATCTTGCGCAAGTCACTTTTGTAGTACCCCTACAGAGCAACCTCATAATCCTGTTTCAATTCTCCTTGTGAACAGAACCTCGGTGCTTCTGCGTTTCTAAAACCATAGCTTTTGGGCCCCCACCATTGTATTTAACCAAAACCCCCAACTGATTCAAAGCAAAATAATTGACTGCAATTGCGTAGTAAGAAGAGTAGCGGCCAGAAGAGCAACAACAACAAAAAACCCTCCTAGTCAACTCTTCGACAAATGTACGTAGTGTCAGTGGGAAGAATGGACACACAATTCGTAAATGGAAGGGCATACACATGGGGAACATGTGAGGAGAGCCGACTCATGTCTGTGATGCTTCAGGGCTACAGGGCCACAAATATCCTCAAGCCTACTCCCACTGACCTTGTTCTGAGAGCTGCTGCAAGATGAACTGGATCATCCAAAGATGTTACTGAACACAATTTCACTGCATGGCTAAAGTCACCACTGCCTCTGGCTGTGGGCTTAGCTGACACAGTGGCCAAGGGCAATGATTTCAATAGTTTGATAGAGGTGGATACAATCCCACAGAAGCCCAGTTACATGGAAAGCAAAGGTTGAGGGAAGGAGTTGTACTCTCTAGGGCTTCCCATGACCAAGGAGAAGGGTAAAGATTCCATTCAGGTCTAGCCTAAGAGAGAAGCAGGGTCAGAGCAAGATGCCCTGAGAAGGGAAGAATATCCATCACCAAAGAAATGAAAAAAAATTACATATGCTCAACATATACATTCATGTTAAAACTATTTTCACATTAGTCATGTTGTAAAGAAGAATTAGAACTAATGGGAGAAACCATGAGAAAGAAGAAACAAGAGACAGAGAGAGAGAGAGACAGAGAGAGAGAGAGAGAGAGAGAGCGCAAATAACATGCTTCCATCAGCATTCAGACTCCATAGTTCTTTTTCTGGATGTGGATAACATTTTCCACCATGAGTCTTTTAGGGTTATCTTATATCCTTGCATTTCTCAGAAGAGATAAGTCTAACAAAGTTAGTCATGGCACAATGTGGCTGTTACTGTGTACAACATTCTCCTGGTTCTATTCACTTCACTCGGTATCAGTTCATACAAATCTTTCCAGGCTTTTCTGAAGTCAGCCTGCTCATCATTTCTCATAACACAATAGTATTCCATTACATTCATATACCACAACTTGTTCAACCATTCCCCAATTGATGGGCATCTCCTCAACTTCCAGTTCTTGGCCACAGCAAAAAGAGCTGCTATAAGTATTTTTATACATGTGGGTCCTTTTCCCATTTGTATGATCTCTTTGAGATACTGACCTAGAAGTGGTGTTGCTGGATCAGAGGGTATGCACAATTTTATACTCCTTTGGGCATAGTTCCAAATTGCTCTCCAGAATGGTTGGATCAGTTTACAACTCCACCAACAATGCATTAGTGTTCCAATTTTCCCATATCTTCTCCAGCATGTATCATTTTCCTGTTTTGTCATGTTAGCCGATCTGATAGGTGTGAGGTGGTACCTCAGAGTTGTTTTGATTTGCATTTCTCTAATCAATAGTGATTTAGAGCATTTTTTCATATGACTATAGATAGCTTTAATTTCTTCATCTGAAAAATGATTGTTCATGTCCTCTGACCATTTATCAGTTGGGGAATGACTTGTATTCTTATAAATTTGACTCAGTTCTCTATATATTTTAGAAATAAGGCTTTTATCAGAAACACTGGCTATAAAAATTGTTTCTCAGCTTTCTGCTTCCCTTCTAATGTTGTTTGCATTGGTTTTGTTTGTGTAAAAACTTTTCAATTTAATGTAATCAAAATCATCTATTTTGCATTTCATAATGTTCTCTATTTCTTGTCTGGTTATAAATTCTTCCCTTCTCCATAGATCTGACAGGTGTAGTTATTCCTTGCTCTTCCAGTTTACTTATAGCATCAGCCTTTACATATATATGTAGTATATATAAATATATATTATATATGTTTATTATATATATTATATATAAATCATGTACCCATTTTAATATATAGTACCCATTATATATAAATCATGTACCCATTTTAATTTTATCTTGGTGTAGGGTGTGAGATGTTGGTCTATGCCTAGTTTCTATCATACTGTTTTCCCAGCAGTTTTAAATAGTGAGTTCTTATCCCAGAAGCTGGAGTCTTTGGGTTTATCAAACAGTAGATTATTATAATCATTGACTACTGTGTCTTATGTATCTAACCTATTCCACTGATCCACCACTCTATTTCTTAGCCAGTACCAAGTAGTTTTGGTGATTGCTACTCTATAATACAATTTAAGATCTGGTACAGCTAGGTCACCTTCCTTTGCATTTCTTTTCATAAATTCCCTTGATATTCTGGACCTTTTGTTCTTCTAGATGAATTTTGTTTTTATTTTTTCTACCTCTATAAAATAATTTTTGGTAGTTGATTGTTATGGCACTAAATAGGTATATTAATTTAGGTAAAATTGTCATTTTTATTATATCAGCTCAGCCTACTCAATTATTTAGATCTGACTTTATTTGTGTGAATAGTGTTTTGTAATTATATTCATATAGTTCCTGGGTTTGTTTTGGCAGGTAGACTCCTAGATATTTTATAATGTCTACAGTAACTTTAAATGGAATTTCTCTTTCTATCTCTTGCTGTTGGGCTTTGTTAATACTATATAGAAATGCTGATGATTTATGTGGGTTTATTTTATATCCTGCAACTTTGCTAAAGTTGTTTATTATTTCAAGTAATTTCTAACTTGATTCTCTAAGTTGCAGTGTAAGAGGTTGAGAGGTTGTGACCCCTTAAAGACCGGAGTACAGGATGGGTCATCCGGAATGAATTCACAGACTCAAGCATTCTTTAAGCCAAGGTGGCACAGTTTATTGTTACGCTTTTCAGCAGGGAAGGATTCTTAAGGATCCTGAGAGAGACTGAGAATGCAGCTAGGGTTTATATGGAAAAGAGCATGGGAAAGAAATGCCAGGGACACTGATGAGGTAATCCAAAGGTGCAGGTGTCTTTGGGGGCTATGGATGGAAAAGTACAGGGAGTATACCGGACAGGGAGGGAGATGACAGAGGGGAAGAGTCCTTGGGCTGGCCAAGGACAAAACTCCTTGGGCTGGGCAAGGCACCCCTCTCCCTCTGTCTTGATGAGAGAATGTTCTGCAACAAGGGATAGCTTTCTTACAAGACAGGAACTGATAAGGAATTGGGAGGCTTCCAGAGACATGATCTGAGGGCTAGGGCCTGAGCAGCCCAGCTCTGTGTAGCTGTAGCAGAGAGAGAGATAAGGGTTGTGCTGAGGCCCATGCGTGAATAACTGCTAGGCAGTGTCCTTGGGCTGGGGAGTGGTTGTCAGAGACAGTGTTTCTGAGGCTAGGGAGAAATTGGGGTACAAGTACAAGCACCCAAACACAAGCACCAAAGCACCCCATCAATATCATCTGCAAAGAGTGATAGTTTTGTTTCTTCTTTGCCTATTCTAATTCCTTCAACTTCTTTTTCTTCTCTTCTTGCTAAAATTAATATTTCTAGTACAATATTGAATAATAGTGGTGATAATGGACATCTTTGTTTCACCGCTGATCTTATTGGAAATGCTTCTAGCTTATCCCTATTACATAAAATGCTTGCTGATGGTTTTAGGTAGATGCTACCTATCATTTTAAGGAAGACTCCATTTATTCACTAGTGTTTTTAATAGGAGTGGATGTTGTATTTTGTCAAAAGCTTTTTCTGCATCAGAGATGGCAAATTTCAAAAGGGGATGTGTAATGGGGCTTATATGGGCATGCCCAGATCATTTAACATGGAGACACTCTGCATCTAGTATCATGTGAGAGGGTGTAGCCTCCTTTGATTTGTTGCATGACTGGAAGGGACTGCATCTTTAAAACTGGCCAGATGAGTACAGTCACTCTTTCCTGTGTACTTTCTTGTGTACTCTTTCCTACATACTACTTCTCTCTCTGGAGACTCATCATGAGTCCTTTGGAATTGTCTTGGAGTATTGTATTCATCAGAGTAGCCAAGTCTTTCACAGTTGATCATCATTACAACATTTCTGTTAAGGTGCACAATAATCTACTAATTCTTCTCACTTCACTTTCATCACATCAGTTTTTTGCTCTGGTACTACTATGCTACCTTTCTTATTTTTTTTTCATTGATTCTCTTGATTTCCTTTACTTTTTTTCCCTCCAGATAAA